GAAGAACCCGTCCAGAAGACCTAAACAATTTTTTTCTTTTTGATTTTTTACCTGGATTACTGAGATGCATCAGGACATTATACAGATACTTTCAGGTACCAGCTTAATCTTGTTCAGGGAGGGGGTGGAAATGGGTTTGTAGCCTATACCCGCAACGCTTCAGAGGTGGGTATATGCTGGACCAGTTACCAGACCATCATAGTGCCCAGGTCTGGACAGTATAGGCAGTATAGGCAAATGGTAAGGGTGTTGCCTATCTAGGGGGCACRGCAGATAGGGGATGAAAAAAAATTACAAAAATGTATCATATGATGCAGTCAAGACTGGTCCTCAGTGTGTAAATAGAAAACAAAATAAAGATAATAGAAGTTTCAGTTATGATCTCAMATAAAGTTTAGGTCAAAGTCTCAGTTTCAGTGTTTTACCTTAAAATATTGAAATAAAATATTGATTGTATGTTGTTTTAATAATCCCAAGTATGTATTAAGATGCTCTTCGAATGTCTGGTAAATGCAGAATTTTGAGTAGATCTTTTACAAAATTAAGTAAACACTGGACCCCCTCACAACTGCTTCACTTCACAGCTGCTGGTTAACATGAACAGGTGTTCCTCATTGCTGTCAGCAACAAGGAACTTCTGAGGTAGACCTCTGGTATTCTGTTCCCAACGAATTATATAATTAACTGTTTTAATTGGACAATCTGGTTTGTAATGATTTAAAAAAAACTAAATTATTGAATTATGTATGCAAATATTTGTAAATTGGCAGGGTTAGAGTCAAGGTAAGGAAGCACTGGAAAATTGTGTATTACAGCAGAATACCAATAAATTTTAATCTCAATCAAAAATCTCAACAGAATATTTAAAACAGCTAAACAGAAGTTTTAAGAAGAAGTTATTCAATGATAAAGCTCTGTATATGTTATCTAATGCAATAATTSTTCCACACTCAATCTATTGTTTTAAAGTCTGGGGGAAAGCAGACTTTATTACAAATCCTATTTTTTATTTTTTTAAAAACTAAGAATTATCAGAAGAAAGCATTACAGTCACCCATCAAATACATTATTTTGTCAATTGAAATTATTGACGTTCTATGATTTGGATGATTTTATTTTGTCAGTTATGTCGGGCTCATAAAAACACATTACCTTTAAACATCCAGTTAAATTTTGTTAAAAGAGAGAGTTGTTACAATCTCAAGGGGGATATAYATGTTTGCCAAACCTAAATTTTGAACCAGTTTGAAGGAACAATGTACTTCAAGGAATAAAATTATGGAACAATCTACAGTGTGATGGTAAAAATGTCAGATCAATACTGTATGTGTGTTTAAAATAATGATCAAAGTTGGTTTGTAGAAAAATATGAAATAGAATAATTGGTATTTATATGAATGAAGAAGGAGTTAACATGTTTGTTTGTTTTGATTTTGTTATTTGAAGATTATTGTTTGAATTCATTTTTTGAGGAAAAAGGGGCAGATATGGGATTTTTTCTTCTTTCTGATGTCTTTCGTTTTGTTTGTGATATGCATTTCTTGTTGTATATAGAATTAGTTTTATTTTTTTAAATGAATAAACTTTATAAACTATAAAAACTAAACTAAAAAATCTCCTTATTAAATCACATAAAAACWATGGCTTCGTTTGTATCTGGTGAACTGTTAATAAGTAGAGACAAACATTTTATGCTGTCAAGCAAAAACCTTTATTCTGATGTCTTCAAGTATGTACAGCTTTGACTTTTTTAAAGAGTACTGATCTGACAAGGTTGGAAAGTGCTGAGAAAGCTTGTGATACAGCAGGCAAAAGCAAACGTACACCTAGCTTTCAAACATTAAATATCAAAGACAGAAAGTCTCAGTTTAAAGCACAACAAAGAAAAACTAACTGCATAGAAGGTGTAAAATTCTGTCATCACTTAAAAAAATTTCTGCTGAGAAAACAATTACCTATTAAAGTCCCATGGCTCATAATGTGCTCACATTGGTTTATTTTAAAAGTGCATAAACTGTTTTTTTTACAATAATCTTGTTCTGTAAAGTCTACTGTGTTGGCTTTTGTAAAAGTTTCATAAAATTTGAAACAAACCAAAWTGTGATTGTTGTAAATGTTGGCTGTATGTCTGCAGTGCGCCCAAAGTCTTAAATTTGCCTCTGTTACATAACTTTACGCACAATTTCTTGTTGCTTCAAAAAGCATACAAATTGATTATTTGTTATAAGTTACACTATGGGTAAACACGTCACGTCACCCCTCTGAAAGCAACACTTCAACTTGTTACACAGTCTTGAAAGTTTTCTATGAAAATTATTTAGGTGACAGGAGAATTTCTGTGATTCAAAAAAAGCTTTTCAGTGACATAATAACTGCAAGACTGTAACTAGAGGCAAATGATGGACCAGAAGACTTTGTTGAGACGTTATCTATTATGTCTAACCTAAAACAGTTGCACAAATTTTAAGATCAACTAGTTGACTTCTCAATGATTTACAAACCTTGTGTTTTTTGTCTTTTGTTTATCATCAACTTTAATAAT